AGTTATATAATCTAGATGGAGGTGCACTAGCTAAACTAGGTTCCTCAGTTATATAATCTAGATGGAGGTACACTAGCTAACCTAGGTTCCTCAGTTTATAATCTAGATGGAGGTGCACTAGCTAAGCTAGGTTCCTTAGTTATATATTGGAAGACTAAATTTCAGGATTGATATGAAAGAGGAGGGGGAGGCGGGGGGTGTCTAAATATTATTAGTTTTTTAAAAACATAATTCATGAGGGGGATGGGGGGTGGTTGGTATTTTTTAGGAACTGATATTGATCCTGACACTTGGACAGAAAATTTTTTTGATTTCCAATCAGTCCAGGGACTAATCTAAACTTATAAAAATATAAGTCGGCTTGTTTAATATGCTACGCATAAAAACTCATCAAAGATGTGTATAGTTTTATATGTAGTCATGTCTAGGGATATTTTACGGATATATGTTTTAAAAGCCCTGTATTTTCAAGACCATATCACAAATCTTTAAACATTTTAACATGCTTTAAGCTCAATATATTGCATATGTATGATTACAAAGTAGCTTTTAATTACTTGCCGAAAATATGCAAAATTTCAGGATATTTTGATTAAAGAAACTTAACTCTGAGACACCTAGCGGCGAAAATATGAACTAAGCTCATAACACAGATTAAATTCCATAGGTACGGATTCCCTGATAGTATACCCAGGCTGAAACATCTATTTGTTTAACTGAATTTGGGATTAAACCACTATTTAAACGTCTTAAGCCTTTAATTAAAAATATATCATTATAAGAGGGAGGGGGGCATCAGTCGTATTACTCTCCGAAAAATTTAAACAGTGGTTTAACGAACTTAGCATTGTCGGAGGACGCTGATTTCCTGCATGCAAACTCACCAATATGTATTGTAACTGCAAAATGCAATTTCAAATAAATTGGAGAAAATGTGCACGCGCGCGCTTTCTGTTAAAAAAATACGACTTTTTCACGTTTTCACATGCTTTACATTCTTTTATAAACTTATAGTTTGCATGAGGGCGCGATTTAACAAGAAATTCCTTAAAAGCTACCAACGTTAACGCAGTTAACACTTTAAATGTATTAGAAATAAATATTATTTAGAAATAGAAATATGCACTTTGACCCCAACAGTTGTAATATATCAATAGGAAATGAGATACTTGAAAGATTTGGTAATGACCTGTGTGAACAAATATTTCATATTTGTTGGACTTAAACTTGAATGCAAATTTTTAAGCTTGGATTTTCAAATTGTACATAGGGTTGTTAATCGTTTTTGTAAACGATCGTTAAACGATCGTTAACCGATCGTTTTTTGTTTCGTTTTCAAAAACGATCGTTTCGTTTTCGAAAAAAAACGATCGTTTTTAAAAACGACCCACTCGTTTTGAACTTTTAGAAAACAAATAGCGATCGTTTTAGAAAACGATCGTTTTTATTAAAACGATTTGCGACCGTTTTTTATACGATTATTGACAATTATGTTAACGAAACGAAGAACTGTATGTAAACGGTCGTTTTTGGAAAAAAATTACATGCAACTTTTTTGAAGTTTAACAGTTGTGGGGGAGTTAAAACTCCTTGATATTATTTTAAGAACTACTCAATGATAAGTACAGATGCCCTTCAGGTCGGTTTCTTCTCTTTGTTAACGATCGTTAATGAAGGGGTTTTCGTTAACGATCGTTAATGAAGGGTTGTCGTTAACGATCTTTAACGAAGGGTCGTTGTTAACGATCGTTAACGAAGGTTCGTCGTTATCGAGCGTCTTGAAAAACGACCGTTTTAAAAACGATCATTTTTAAAAAACGAACTTTTAAAAAAAAACTTTTTCGTTTCGTTTTCGATTTTTCGGCGTCGTTTTCATAACGAAACGATAGTTTTTCTGAAAAATGAAAACGTTAAAATCCCTAACCCTTAAGCCTTCATCTGATAAATAATGTCGAAGATATTGTCGTTTTTGTTGGTTTCATTGTGTTTAGCGTTGATAATTCCAACACCTTTTCCTGCAGTTGAAATGCGCAAGTCACTTTTGTAGAAAACTCACAATTAATAATGATAATTTTAAGAATACAAGTATAAATTTCATTTCACAATTCATACTTTCTAAGTATATATGTATATTTTTTTAATTCTGAACAGAAATCATTGGATTAACAGCAATTACGATTTTGCTAATTTCGCTAATCAAAATCAAAATCAAAATCAAAATTAAAATTAAAATCGAGCTGGTTTTGAAGTTTATAAAATACTGACCAAATTTAGTCATGAATAATTGAACATGTAGATTATGAATATAACATGAATAAATGAACAAGTAGAATATGAATATAACATGAATAATTGAACAAGTAGAATATGAATATAACATGAATAAATGAACAAGAAGAATATGAATATAACATGAATAATTAAACAAGTAGTATATGAATATAACATGAATAATTTAACATGAAGGCAATTACAACTTTTATGTAAACAGTACAAATTTAAAAAAAATAAAATTAATTGTATTTTGTTTTTAATTGCAATCTTTTTAACGAATACCCTATTATATTTGTATCATAAAAAGATTTATATAAGAATTTATTGAAAATAGTTATTAATTATAATGTTTACAATTATTGAAGGATAATATTTTGAAAATGTTGTATGTAAATAATTATCAAAAATACATTTAAATAATCAAATCAAATCAAATTAGGTAAAAATGTAATTTTTCAGAGGAAACAATAAATGCCTAATTGCTTATTAATACATTAAACATTTGGCCTAATTTATTTGTAAAAGTAACTTAGAAATTTGATTATTTAAATGTGTTTTTGATTATTATGTACGTACAACATTGTGAACAAGATTATAATTATTTTCAATAAATTCTTATAAAGTTAAACCTTTATGATACACAAATAATTTTATTTGATTTTGATTTTGATTTTTATTTTGATTTCGATTCTGATTTTAATTTTGATTCTTATTTAGATTCTGATTTTGATTCTGATTTTGATTCTGATCTCGATTCTGATTCTGATTCTGACTTTTCATAGCTAACGCTAATTGAAACTTAGATAATTTTATAAAAAACTAAATATTTTTATTTTCCGTTGGGTTAAATGTTTTAACAATGTTGTTACAAAATATATATTATATATATCACAATATGTTTTTTATGCACGGAAATGTGTTTGTATTTATATTTGAGCTTTATCTATTTATTTTTGGGCTTTTAAGTATTTATATTTGGGCTTGAGATAATTTAATCTAACAGAATTTATAGTTTAAAATATCTTGATGGTTTGTGACAAAGTCTCAAAAATATGCAAAATTTCGCGTTTAAACTTTGCCACTCAAACTGAAATCGGAATAAAAAGTAATTTCCATTTTCCAATGACGAGAATTTCCTTTCAAACTCAAAAATTATGCATATTATATCAATTATTTTTTGCATTTTTAACGTTAATATATTTTGCCGTGAAAGAAAAAACTAGCTGAATATTATTGAAGCGATAAAACAACTTAGTTTATGGTAAGATTTGGATCGGACCAACATGCAATATTGCTTTTCAAGGGGGGGGGGGATGTACGCGTATTTTTAAGTGACCCTTCATGCAAAGAGTGCAATGTACAATTCACAACGGTTCCTTTGAAAGTATATAAATTAGATAATGATATCAATTTTGTTCTATTTTTGAAAATTGATTTTTTTTTAATTGCGGGTTTTCTACAATAGTGACCGGCGCATTTCTACTGCAGTAAAACATATATCAACGTTATTGATCAGAGATAAAGGTTTCAGGGTTAACGGGTTAAAGTTGGTAATCGGACATTAATTGTCATGCTTGTATGCATGCAATTACTCTTACAATCCCTTTAAGACCTATATTGTTTTGCTTGAGAAATTATAACTTTCCGAAACAAATGGATTTTTTTATGCCTTGATTCTGTTTTAAAGTTTTTCAAGGATTGTGTTTCATGGTTGAACGCTTAGCTCTGTACAGTGTGAACAGGGAGGGGAGGGGTCAGGCGTCAGAGAGGGGGATGTATATATATATATCCATGAGACATCCATATTTTCTCTCGAAAATTAGATTATATTTGATTTTTGGTTTTTCTGCCAAATTGACCCTTGTGGTCCGCGGATTTTAACAACAATTAATATTTTTAGTAAAAACTAAATCAATTATAAAAGTGTAATTAATTTATATGGGAAACTGAAAGAATTAATTTCAATAAAATCTCTTTCAACCATTGTCTGTATAAAACTCAAACAGTTTGCCTGCTTTTAAATTATATAATGTTGCACCAAAAAAGATGTCAAAATTAAAAATAAAAACTGGTCATAAATAATAATACATTCCTGGGCATTAATAATATAATTAATAAACTATAGATTCAGTAGAAGTAAATATTTCCATTTACTGATAGCGCTGATATAAGGATTTATCTCTAATTGGATAATTAGCTAGATAGAAAGATAGATGTTACCGCCATACAATTTCTGTTGGTTCAGAATAGACACCAAACACATGACTGAACCCTGATTGGATCAGGCGCTAATTTACTCGGCATACTACAGTGAATAGGGAATTTTCTTATGTTCTGTGAAACTCGCTGTATTTTCTGAACATTTGCGTACATGCGTAGTTTTTTTTACTTTATGAATTTTATAAGCTTAATACAGACGGATAATGCTTCTCCCATCGTTGACAAAACTGCACAGTATCATATATTTGTCGTTTCTATTTCTAACTTTTTTTTGGCAAAACAAACTGAGTTTACCCACTCGAAACTTCCGCCTAATTATACTTATTGTTAACCCTTATAGGCTGGGGGGTCTGAATCTATGTATAGCCGGGGGGGGGGGCGTTTGGGGCCCCACCCTTAGAAAAGGCCTTAGAGAATAGGTATAGGGTTGAAATGCAGGTTCATAGCCCAATTTTTCATGGCCAGTTCAGAGAAAAAAAAATAGACCGTTAACTTTAATAATTTGGGTGCTAGGGAGGGTTGAAAAAATGCCTAAAAAGGGTTAATAAAGTGAAAAAAAAATTTTTGTTTTTGTTTTAAACAAATATCAAAGTGTGACACATGTTTCTACTTGGATTTTTCAAGGGCTTTTTAAAAATATAGTTTTAAGATCTGTAGCTTTAGTCACAAACACGTTATGGGCTATTTAAGATTTCTTTTCACATAACAGACGTTTTTTCTCGCCCTGTACCCTACCCTATAAATAAAGAAAATTTTACAAAAAATCCTTTAAATCACTATTCATTAAAAGTCAAAAAGTTTCACGGTGATAGTGTCAAAAATGAGTGTGCTAGGACAAAAAAATTACAGTGGAGGGGGCGCCAAACACTCCCCCCCAGGGTATTTAGGGTTAAGACCTGTTTACATGTGTAAATGCGTAAGTAAGTTACAAGCAGGTGTAAAAACAAGTATATCAGATTATAATCAAAACATGGATTAAAATAATACGCTTCAAATACGCACTCTGGTTACGCTTCTGCCAGCCATGCATGTCATCTTTTTTAAGCGTCACTCATGACCTCAGATACGCTTTGGACGCAACGCAATTGTTGTTCAGTTCAAAATAGTCACAGGGCGAGGATGAAAGTGTTTTTGTGTATTTGTTTGTTTATGTTTCTACAGCTGGGTGCAGCACAGTCAGTGGAGTCCAGTACAAAGAGAATAGGAAAACAAAATGGAGATTTAAAATTGTCTTAAGATTTAAGAATTCATAATTTTTCTCCTTAAATTCGAGTTTTCTAATCCTTATAATGTCGAATACCTTTGTCATATCATATTTTGAATTCTGCTAGGTCAGAATTCAAAAGGTTCAATTTTAGAATATCAAAGGTGTACACCAACAGGTTGCAAAGATACAGGATTTAGTAAATTAGAGTTTGAGTAAAAAACTGTAAAAGACCTCATTATTTCTTCTTTAAAATATCATATTTTTTTATTATTTATTACGTTCAGATTTTTAAAAAAAATTTTTTTGCTCCTTTCTCATTTTTTTCTATACCTCTTGATAATAAAGATTATCGTGCTTAATTGTAGCACGTTTTAATCATTTTATACATGGGTTCAATCATAATTTCTTTGTAAGAAAAAGAACAAACATGTTTTTAATTTTAACTTTAATTTAGTATTGTTGAATTGTCAATTTTGTTTGAAAAGTTCGGAGGAAGAAAATGCTTCCAGGGTTTGGAGTAGAAGAAAGAACCGACAATCATATAGGGTAAGTAACAATAATTATTATTATTATTATAATTATTATTATTATTATTATTACTATTGTTAATTATTACTATTATTATTACTATTGTTATTGTTACTATTATTGCAATTATTATTATTATTATTATTATTATCATTATAAATATTATTATCATTATTATTATGATTATTATTCTTATCATTATTTTTATGATATCATTATTAGTATTACTATATTCATTAATATTATGATGTTTATTATTAATTTTTAAAAGTTCTTAACAATTAAATTATTTTTATTTTATTTTCAATTAAAGTAAAATCAAAGTAAAATTTGCAACAAATTGGAATCATAAAAATGGGTTTAATCATAGCTCACGCACATCTGCCCCTTTAGTAAAAGTAAATTCAGCTATATGAAGCATTAAGTCTGACCGCGTCAACCTTGTTGCACCGGCTAGTCCTGTCTATAGAGCTAGATACAGTACAAACTGGTACCGGAAAGGTTGACCCGGCTCGGAAATTCAAATATACTACGGTATCGCTATCAAGAGGAATAAAGATTTCATCATTTTATACGCAATAGAAATAATTTTGCATAAAGAAATTAAGTCTTTAGCTTAACATTTCTATGACATTGGGTTGCAAAGATACATATAAGGATTAGAAATTCAGAGTTTGTACCTTCTCCTAATGTCTAGCTTTTTTTGTTTATATTAAATTTTGTTTAGCTCTGATGATCTATCAAGTATGGCCGCGGAGCACCGATCCATAAGTCCACCAGTCAGAGTTCTGAAAAAACGATTAATAAAACCGGTTCCACCGATAGTACTACCACAACCAGGCAAATGTGGCAAAGTTATCTTTTCATAAAAATATTTTTTTTGATATAAATTTAAGGCATCTTTACACAAATTTTATTTATTTTCAGTTAAACTTTTTGAGTGACAAAAAAAGAATTAATATGTTCTAAATAAATGTTTAATATGCTAGAAAGTTTTACAAAACATTTTTTTTGCAAACCATCAAATGTTTTAACAAATATCTTATTCCGCAGCAAAATAATCTTAATTTTTTACATAATTTCTTCCTGAACAAACATAATTTAAAATAAAAATATAATTTGTCATTTTTCAAGTGTTCGACAATACTACTCAGGATCTTGATTTAACTGTGCAGGATAGTGTTGCTCCTAAACCCGATGCTGTCAAACGATGTGAGTTTTTTTGTTTTAAACAATGTCTGTTGTAAAAATTAAACTTTATTAGTTGTATACAATGTCGTCTTCTGCAATAAATAAATAAAGGGAGTGTTCGCGAAAAAATAAAGGGGGTACAGGCTTACGGTGAGAAAATAACGATGGTGATCGCTACTAATCTTATTTCTATATGTTGCGTCTAAAAAGAGAAGTTTGTTAAAAACGACTCTAACCGAAGGTGCTACGTTATTCTCCTTGTCCTGGCATTTCCAAATTGTGGTCTGCCTTTCTTGTGCTGTCAATATTACCGGAGATATTATGAATTTCGTTTAGATTTCAATTTTATGAAATAAAACCAAATTTATCGAAATCTGGAGGAAATTCGTGATATCTCCGGTAACATTTAAAGCACAAAATAGGCAGACCACATTTTGGAAATTAGGTTTTCGAATAAATGTTGCAAATCATTTCATAGATTCAAAACGACATTCAAACTGTCATTTTACTGTATGTAAAACTTTTATATTTTTTTTAGTTTTGTCTTTGTTCACCATCGTGTCCTTCAAGAACGACGCCTGCGTGAGTACTGGGGGTACAAACGGTACATGCTACTCTAGCAATGAATGTACTTCCAAAGGTAGAATTACATTAGGGAACAGTCCCATTTACAATTACATAATAGCGAACACTAGTAAATTCCCATTAATATGAGAGACCTTTCAGATTGGATAAATTAGTTTAGATATTTTTCAGATTAGATATATTAGTTTAGATATTTTTCAGATTAGATATATTAGTTTAGATATTTTTCAGATTAGATAAATTAGTTTAGATATTTTTCAGATTAGATATATTTGTTTAGATATTTTTCAGATTAGAAAAATTAGTTTAGATAATTTTTAGATTAGATATATTAGTTTAGATATTTTACAGATTAGATATATTAGTTTAGATATTTTTAGCTTGTCTAGCGTTTTTTAAATTCATTATTTGAGATTCTTTTTATATAAAATACTGTCTTGGGAACCCAGCTTTGTCTGGAAAATAAACTTTTTATCCATTAAAGGCAACTCTAAAGCAAGCTTAGAACATTCCCTTGACCTGCTGAGATCTCAATCAATCCAGGGGGTTCCTGTGCTTTGATCGGACAGACAAGCAAACAGACAAATAGAGAAACCTACTTTAAGTATATTGAGGAGGTATACGTTACCAATCTTTATACTGTTTTATCTATGGGTATTTCCCTTAATCTTAATACATGAATGTTTGGAGCACACTTAGAGTGCAATCCAACCTTGTACAATAACATTTGAAATATTTGTTTTAATTTTTAATATTTAATTTAATATTTTTGTCTCAGGAGGAGCGTCTGCTGGTACATGTGCTTCAGGGTTTGGAGTCTGCTGTTTATGTAAGTACAAATTATTTTCTTTTGATTTTAAACTTCTTTTTATCTTTTTTTGATTTTGATGCTTGGTTATGGTTAGAATTGAAGGATTCAGCTTATATTTTCTAAATGTGGAACTAACATATATCTTTTCCCCTATGAGGTTTGGGTGATCATCAACACCAAATCTTAAAAGATATTTAAAGTAATTGTAAGTATAATTAATGATAATGGAAATTGTTGAATTAAATTGATGGAAAAAATGGAAAATTTAATGAAAATGATTTGAAAAAATTGGTTTAAATTAAATATGAATTTGGCAGGCAGGGGTTTCCTTTACGGTTGATATACCCCTGTCATACAACCTTGAACCAGAACCTTTCCAGGGTCACACCCGCCAATTAGAACCTTGCGTTTTCTAACAAATATAAAGAGACTTTTCTGTAATTATAACCTTGCGTTTTCTAACAAATATAAAGAGACTGTTCTGTAATTAGAACCTTGTTCTTTCTAACAAATATAAAGAGACTGTTCTGGAATTAGAATCTTGTTCTTTCTAACAAATATAAAGAGAGTGTTCTGGAATTAGAACCTTGTTCTTTCAAACAACGTACACTAACTAACTTTAAATAAAACTTTCAACATTTCAAAAAAGAAATTATGTTAAGAACCTTTTTTTATAACTTTTCAATACTTTAAAATTAAAATTAAACCTTAAATACGACCCGAAAACTTAAATAAACCTAAAGTACCTGAAAACCTGAAAACCTGAAAACCTGAAATCGATTGTTAAAACATTGTTTTTTTGTTCGATTATGTCGAACTTTTTTCAAGATTGTGAATTTTAGATAAACGCCTTTTTTACGCTATGCTAAATTTTTAACATGACAGAAAATATTTGCCAAAAACCAGCTTAATGTGCACATCACTATGTAAGTACAGGGTGTCCCACGAAACATGACAGTTGGTGAATAGTTTTGAATGTCTTCTTCCACATACTGCATTAAATGTTAAAGACTTTCTGCAGTTTATTTAGTTTGAAAAACTCTTTTAGTAAAATTCATTTTTACTTTGAAATCAATTTAATTATAATAGGACTGCTATAAAATATTTGTTTCTCATTCGCTATGGTATCAAACAAATAAACAAATTATGGAAGAAGACATTTTAAACTATTCACCAACTCTCATGTTTCGTGGGACACCCTGTATATAAAGCGTTTAAAATGTCAATACAGTTCTCGTTTTAATCATTTTTAATATTCCTTTGGGTGTCCTCTGAAAAAGATTATGAACAGGAATACCCTAAGTAGTCGGGGNAAGGGGGTTGTACAATTTTATATTTATTATTTTTTTCATTTTCAAATATATTTCTGAAAGTAAAATTCATGATAAAAAAGCATTATTTCAACTTTTAAAGATGTGACAAAAGGTGTAAAATCATAATCTTATTTTTGTTCTCCAAAAAGTATAATTTCTAATGTATAATATTGTAATTGTGTTGTTAACACAGTCAAATTTAATAATTCAGGCGTAAAGACTATAAAATACTTTTCTTTAATTTGTTAATAACTGCAGATTGCATAATTTTACAAAGTGACCTTAGAACTTTATATTTGCAAGGACTTTCAGTTAATTTTAATTAAAAATATAATTTTTGCAATATAGAACATTTTGCAATAACTATCCATGCATAGTTTTATGTGTGTTTGTGAGTGAGAGTGAGTGAGTGAGAGAGTAAGTGAGTGAGTGAGTGAAAGGGTGAGTGATTGAGTGAGTGATTGAGTGAGTGAGTGAGTGAGTGAGTGAGTGAGTGAGTGAGTGAGTGAGTGAGTG